GGCCCAAAATAGGGCGGTGATGCAGTACCGCGCCAGGGTCCCGGTTCCACCAGACCTCTAGTCGCTGGCCTTTCCACGGTTGAGGCAGAGAGGTTCGGTAGAGTGAGGGTACAGCAACTGTAGCAAGCCGGGGGTCTCTTCTCTGCGGACAGCGCGGCTTGGGCCTCCCCGGACATGGACAGGGGGCCGCAGCGTGCGCAGCGCTCCCGGAGTTTGTCCCGGCGACCCCCTCCCCCAGACTGTAATGGATCTGATGGCAGGACCTACGCTGCTCTTTGAGGATCGCTGGGCTGCTGAACTGTGCAGCTTTTCTCCTCGGGAAAACTTTGAGACAGGGCCACCTCGTCCGAGAATCTACTTGGGGGAAGCAGAGACGGAAGCGAAGCGATGGCGGGTGTTTGAGGACGGCAGGAGCAGGCGGCTCTCTTTCCAAGAAAGCTGACTTGTAGTGAGGCCCCTTAGGCGATGGAGACTCCATCGCGTTGCCTCCTAGGTGTGCATGTGCGGGAAATAAACTTTTTACGGAGCAAGTGGGCCAGGTCGGACACCAGGGACCTTCCCTGGGTCCACCCCTGGGTCAGAGCCCCTCCTCTACCTCCGTCTCTTACTTTTCCACCTCTGGCCCTGATGAAAGGGGACTGAGCTAGCGGCTCATCACGGTGTGCTGGGGTGGCCCGCTTCCCTTCCTGCACCCGGGTAGGCGCCTGAGGCTGCAGGACTTCTCTGGTTAGCGACACGGGTGGGAGGGCACCCAAGGGACCTGTTAAGGCTCCCCAAGCAACTTTGCGCCCACCTTATATGCGGCCACCGGGGTCGCTGCACCCCCAACCACCAGCGCCGCCGCGCTCCAACACTCAGGACCTCTCAGGAGCTCCATATGGATCCGGCAGCAGCAGCCTGGGTTTGGGCCCATTCCGGACTGCAGGATAAAGGCCGCTGGTGGGCTGGAGACCTTGTATTCTGGACACCCAGACAGTCCCTACTCCCTGCTCCTTCCTCCCGCTGCGGATCCTGGGGACTCTCCCCCCACCCCCCAGCATCCGGAAACTTCCCATTTTTCCGCTTTGGGGCCCAGAGGACAAACACCAAGCCACCGACTATAATTAGCAATAATAACGCCCATAATAGTAATTACTAATTACCGCTCCATAATCAGGCTTTATTTTCTCTGCTCTGAGTCACATTTCTTCCTGTTCTTGCTGTGTGCTGTCCCTCTTCCAGTCCCATAACCGGGCCCCAAGTACTCCAGAGCCCCCTACAACTCCCAGCTTCCTTTCTTGCCTTCAGATAGCTCTGGGGGGAGACACTTTTCTCCCTGGCTGGGAAGTTCCCAACCACAGCATCTTCCTGATTTCCAGCCCACCACCTCCCCTCCCCTCATCCCCATCTCCACCAGGACTTCCAACCCCCATTTCTTCTACATTAAAACAAGTCCAAGAATGGTAGGTGAGACTGGGAGAAAGGGTCCAGCCCGCCACTGTCCTGTTTAGTAAACTCCAGGGTCACCTGACGGAACAACAGGTAAATACAGGTGAGATAAAGAGTCTTCTGTGACCCAAGATGTAGATGAAATGCTTCTCCAGAGACCTGTCTGATTGTAAAGATTGAGTCACTGCAGGTGGTAAAGGAGTTGTTACTCTTTCCCACCACTAACTCAGGAATTGTGACCCCACCTGCATGTCTCAGATCACCCTAACCTCACACTACAGCCATGTGTGTGTGTGTGTATGTGTGTGTAGGGGTATGAGAATAGCAGTGACACGGACTTGCCCTCACCCTCAGCGTACCCAGAAATGCAGCTGAGCGCATCATCTCTACTCAGCTCCTGAAACCAGTCAGGAGGGTCTGTTTGGGCATTCTGGAGAGTCCCTTGTGAATCTGGCTTGAGGACCAGGCAGTTAAAGAAGTGGGGGCAATAACAAAGCCCCTGGTGTTGCCCCCAGTGAGTCTGAAAGCTACCTAAAGGGCAAGAGAATGCCGAGTGCCCAGGTCAGGGGCTGGGGCTGTGTGCAAAGTTCCTGAGTTTACAACCTGTTCCAGGTTTCAGAGGAGCCACAGCTCCCAAGTCCTTAACCCAAAAACTTTCCACTGTGGCGCCGTGGGTTAATGCGTCAGATTGCAAAGCCATTTGAACTGCAAGGTTGGTAGTTCAAGCTCACCAGCTGCTCTTCAGAAACCCTATATAGGATGGCTATAAGTACGAAGAAGCAGCATAGAAAAAAAGAGTTAAGAAATTATCCAGCAAGGCACCCCATTGAGGGGAAGGAGGGGTGGAGAAGGATTCAGAACCTCTCAGTGTCCCAGGCCAGTAAGGACATCCTCTACCTCTCTGTGGTAGCATCGCATGGTTTAGTGGGGCCAAGGACTGGAGAGTTAAGGGTGCCCCCGCCCAGCCCAGACGCGGCCCACGGAGCCCACGGCGCCCGAATCAAGAAAGTTCACCGTGCACAAAGTCTTGGACAGTACTTGGCAATCTACGTGATGCGGATTCAGACGGCTTCTCAAAGAGTCGGGGCCGACTAGCCAGCTCTGCCCCTCCAGCACCATGGTGCATCCATTTGGAAGCCCGGGAGACTCTTGGCACAGAGGAGTGAGATACTGCGCGAACTCCTTAGGTACCTGAGCGGAGAGTAGGGGCGGACAGCCGGTCTCCCGCTACGTCACGGCGGAAAACCGACGGCCCAAGCTTAATTCTCCAGATGATGAACCCGGTTACATCTGTTCACCCGGATTGAAACTGGCCGCTGGTGAGGCAGCCGAGCCTAGTCCAAGTGTCAGCTCCCTTCCCCGTGTCCCGTCCATGTCACTATACCATAGTCACTACACCCGGGAGCCTTGAGAAGCCAAACATAGGGGTCGCTGCGCGGCTGGATGGGAGCTCCGTGCTGTTTGCGGCCCGGCTCCTAGAGGACCCCGTGGGCCCTGAGTCTCGGAGGAGCTTCGCTTGGGTTCAGACTCCTCAGAAGCCCCGCGGCGAACGGCAGAGGCGGTGACTGGGGCTGCAGCTAGGTCTCTGACTGGGACGGCAGGACACGGGACGGGACAATTGCCCGCGCATGTGCAGGGCCGCGCGTGTGCAAGACTTATAAAGAGAGCACTGTGCATGGGGGATGCGGAGAAAAGGCCTGAGGGCCCTGGCATGGGAATGGCAAATAATGCAAGGTTTAACCAGTGACTTCTAAGAAGATTTCAATGCTTCAAGGACACTTCACTTGTTCAGCTGTGTATTTTTGTTTGGGGTGGGGTTTAATCACTTCTCTAATGATCAGGTCCTTTCTACCTGTGTTGGCTGATCTTTGCTCTGAACCCCAGGGACCCTATTACAAAAAAGGCCAAGATGCGACCGCCCAACAACCCCCTTATTTATATTGCACCCTTTCGAAGTCCTTCTCGCCTTTCCAGCTCGGCTGTCGGGCGGACTCCGAGGAGGCGGAGGAAGCTCATTTGAGGACCGCCCCACTTCCTGGAACCATCTTGGGGACTAGCCTCTGGCGCCAAGGACAGGAGCAACTCAGAGCCATCACCAGGATGCAGTGGGAGGCGCAGGGACCTCCTCGCCAGTCTTTCAAAATAATCCTTCTTTGCCATGCAGATGACGGGATGGGGCTCCAGGCGACAGGGTGGCAGGGCTGCCGGCCAGATTCGGCTAGTGTTCCCAGGCTTGGGCTGGGCCCTCCGCCCCAAAGCGCGCCCTGATTTATGAGTCTTGTTAAATCCTCATTAGGACTTTGCACCTCGCTCCAGCAGGGCCCGGAAGCCACCCGCTCAGCGACTGAGAGTAGAGTGTCAAATAGTTTCCGCGTCCAAGACCCCCGGCTGCTGGTAGAGAGAGAGGTCAGCCTCGCCCTCAGAAGGCCCAGTCCGCGCAATCCTATCACAATGATTCCGCGCCCACGGCGGGGGCCTAGGACAACCGGAAGCCTGGAGTGCACACTCCCGAGGGAGCGTGCTGTGGGACCCTGCAGCAAGACTGGCGGTCTGGTCGGGCTAGAAGAGACACTGAGTGAAGCCAGGAAACCTTGGAGAAGAACGCTCTGAAACCAGACACACAGGGCTCCAGGTCGCTGGGCTCAGGGTCCCGCGCGGCGAGAAGTGCAGGGCTCAAGCCATGGTCCAGCGGGATTTGCTCTCTGGGTAGCGGCGGCAAGACGATATGGACAACCCCCGGAGCATCAGAGCAGAGTCTGGTGGGAGCCTTTTGATAAACGCCGGTCAGAAGGACCAGCTGCAGTGACCCTACCCAAAGTGTCATGATCCCACCATGCCTGAGCGTTTGAGGACGTGAACTCCGTGCGTGTATACAGACGTGAATATTTGATCACCCTCTCCTTAATTAACCAAATCATTTCCATTAGGCCTCCGATATGATCCACAGACACGATGGGAGGGTTTTCAGAGTTTACAATTTTATGTCACCAGACGGTGGCTGGGGGGCAGAGACACAATTGCCGCGCCAGCTGCAGTTGTATTTATTTGTTTTTGCTGCCTTGTTCCTGTAGGGCTCCATTATGCAGTTTTTAATTAGTTTGTGTTTGTATTTCACCCGTCCCAAATCAATGCCATCCTGGAGCAAGGCGATGTAAATTCTCGAAGTACAGGTGTAGCTGCCTGCTCAAGAACACTAGCAAAAGCCTGTCTGACAAATGAAAGCTCAGCTACCACGCAGCCCAGTGTCAGCTCAAAAGGCTCAAGAGATCAAAGTTGGAGTAGGGGCTTCTGCGCCTCCAGAAGTGGATGTCCAGGCTGCGCCTTTAATGCCATTAGAGGAGCAGATATTGAGGATCAAGTTTTGCTTAAGTCCTGTGTTTTGGTGACCAGTGCAGGATTCCTGAGCGCCTTCCATTTGGAACCCAGAAGACCCTGACAAAGCTGAACAAGAAGGTTGCCTCCGGATCTGGGCTGTACACGTAAGCACAGAACCCAGCGCCTAGTGCAAGATCTGGTACATTTCCCGCTGGCTTCCACTGAGTCACTGACTAAGAACACCAAGTCATAACGTCAGAGTATCTGGTCTCTAAGAGTGCACAGCCGTCAGCCCCTCCCTGAGCTGTGTTTGCTTTCTCTTCCTTCTTGAAATGACCTCTATGGAAAAGTATATCCATCTATTCTTCCAGCCACCGGGGAATTCTTTTAAAGCTTTCGCGCTCTCTCTCTTTTTATAGTCAGGAATAAGAGATTGTTCATCTTTAACTAGGCCACATAGAAATTATGATTCAACAGCAGTGTATATTTAATTAGAGTAATCTCTCTTGAATTTAATTACCTAATGAATTATTTGTTTAAAAGGTAAAACGCCTTGTTTGCCAAGTACAGTGTGGACCTCTGATAAGAATTTCTGTGGGTAGTGCATTACAGTTTACAAACAGGCATGCAGTAGATTTTAACTCTTTGAGACTGCAATTGTTACTGTAGGACTCAAACAAACAAAAACTTGTCTTCAGGATCATTCTGGTCTCTTCTGTTAATGCACTTATGGCA